GTATTCTCGACTCTATCAAGTTCTATTTTGGTACAAAATCGAACTGTGCTTGTCTTTTCGTTGCTGGCCGGCAGTGTTGTCGCCATTTCCATTATCCTCCTAGCTTCTTCTTCATCGTATTTCAAATGTATGCTCAAGAGATTTATTCGAATCCAAATACAAAAACGATTGGTTGCTCCAAAGCTTCGACCATCAGAGACGGATACGTTCGTATCTTATTATTAAAATTTCCTTTATCATATGCAAAAAAGAAATAATGAGTTATTAGCAAAGATCCTCCAGAACAATTGCTCATCTGTATTTTTCCGAGATCGATCAATTTCATTTCTATCTTCTCACCGTTCGTCATCTTGTCGTTCTGAATAAGAAGGATATGCAACAATCGATGAGTTTCGAGAAAAAGTGCCATTGACTACATACGACGACTATCACAATTATATTGGTCGAATGATTCTTAATGGAGAAATGAACTTATTATCTGCTCAAAAAACTATCTACTTTGCAACTAGCTCAGGAACAACGAGAAAGGCGAAATTTCTTCCCACGACTGCAGCCATGGTAACCAACGTGTCCACAATGACATGCCTTGCACTCAGTGTAAGTTGGAGATCTCTTCCTTCATTTGTTCCTTCTCCTGAACAACGAGCATTCGTATTGGGTACTGAAAAGAAAGCTGAATCGTATCTGCGGTCGAAAGATAGCACACCGATAGGTCTAATTTCCCAATGTAATTCAGTGGTCCCGATGAATCCTGTAACTAGAATGGTTAGGTCTAGCCTCACTATTGTTGCGACTGATTTGATTGGAAGAATTCACGATTTTGAGATAAATACATTAGTTCAGCTCACTTTTGCATTAGCATGTCATGATATATATTGCTATGCAGTTATATTTGCTTCAAGCTTCATTCATACCATTAAAATTATCGAAAAATACTTTGAAGAAATGAGTCTTTGTATTGCTTATACTAATTTCAACCATAGCTCTATTGTTCGAGACAATATTCGAGATTCAAAACTTCGGAAGAAACTTAATCGAACATTAAATGAGTTGACTGTCGAGTATGGAGGATTAAAATACCAATTGAAACGAGCTGAACATATACGAAAACAATGTCGAAAAAAAGGTGTTCCTGGTATCCTTCATCGTCTGTGGCCATTTCTGGTTTATGCAATGACCACGACAGGAAGTTCGTTTGCCATATACAAAGATGAGATCCAATTTTATTGCGGAGATAAACTACCTGTCATCAACTACATATTTTACGGCAGCAGTGAAGGATTCTTTGGATCTCTCGCTAGTGTTCATACCGATGAGTACTTTCTGTCACCAACATCTGCCTTCTTCGAATTCATCAAAGAAGAAGACATGCATCAGGTATGTTATTTTCGAAGATAGATTGCTGCCTTTGATTTCATAATAACTATGTCCTATGCGTAACCACTTTCTTCTTGTTCAGACTCAGCCAAAGACCTCGCTGGTCTCAGAGATCGAACCAGGAAACCGATATGAGTTAGTTTGCACAACCGATGCAGGATTGGTTCGATATCGATTGGGTGATGTCATCAATTGTACACGATTTGTTTCCCGAGCTGATAAGGGTGTGGGTGTGGGTGTGGGTGGGGCGTGGGTGTTTGTCATATATCTTATCAGATACCCGTACACCCCCACCCCCATCCCCACACCCACACCCACACCCTCGAGGTATACATTGTTCAATTATAATTTGACAATCATATTTAGCTATATTTTGAATTATATTCATAAGTTCAATATGTTTTTTAAATATAGAATGATAAAGTTCATGAAATGAAATACTCCATAGAATATTGAAAAGTGCTATGAAAGTAAATTTGAAAATAATTTAATTGTCGAAGTTAGATTTGATGAAGGATTAGTTTGTGCTTGATTCATAATATAATCAAAAGTTGTACCATCAATAAATAATTTAACAAGTACAGCAAGTGGTTCAGATACATGAAAACCATTATATCGATATTTTTCTGCAGTTGATGCATAAATAGTTATTTGAAGAAGTTCATCAAGTATAGGTTTAATTTCTTTTCGATAAACCTTTATTTGATTTGGAGTGGAAAGAAGAGCTAATGTCATTGTATTAATTAATAACATTGTTGATTGACGTACACTATCAAGTTGTTGTATTTGATTAATAATTTCAATAGCTCCATATTAATTAAGTTCATCAGCACCATTATCATGTCTTGATAAGTTATGTACAATACTTACTATAGGTCGACATGCTGTATCAGTTAATGTTGGATTGTTTAACCATTCAATAACACTTTGACCGAATCCAGCACGTAATAGAGATGGAACGACTACCGTACGATCACTTAAGTTCCATATCAACAATAAAATACGTTAATGTACAGTAACAAGTTTTTTATTCATATCTTGCTGCAACGTCGTACTTTGAAGATTTCGATCAACATGAAATCGCATAGCATTCAATAAAGGATTATACTGATCGCTAATATCACTGTCAACAAACTCCACAGAACTACATAAAGTTGATAGGATAAAAAGTATTATATAAATATTTGATTCATGTATAGAATCTGCTAATGTAGATGATGATAATGCTGTCAAAAATTATTGAATTTCATATGTATTAAGAAGATCTAAATAGCTAAAGAATATTTGTCGTGAAAAATCATTATCATTATGAAATACATCAGTTTCACTGATATCAGAAAACACTTTTGTAACTAGAGCACGATTTGTATCAAAACAATATTTATTTTTCTTGGTAACATTATTTGCCATGTGTAATAATTCATTCCAAAGACATATAGATTGATTTTATCGTTTTTTTCATATCAAGCTGATTCTCACCTCAAAATTAATGAACTTTTCATTTTTTATTTTAATTATCTAGAAAAAACCTCTTTCAACAAAATATCTTCATAATGAACTCATTCATCATGCATCTCAATGTCTTCCTCATCTCATCCATTGACAATCATCAATATGTTAATAAAAAAATTATCTACAAATACTTCTGATACTCTATCAGAACTATTGACATATTCTTTCAACAAATACATCAAAAGATGTTGTCGTAATTCCAGATTTGGTCTTATTCTTCTTGCCAAATGTTACAAATTATTGTGTCTTCACCAATGCAACGATTCTTCGCTGTTTCACTTCAATTAGATAAAGCAAAATTCGACTTAAACTTCATAACTAAAATCATCTTTGATCCGAACGAAGCTTTATTTCTATCTATTAATACTTTCATTAAGTTGAATTCGATCAAGAAAAAAAAAAAGGATTGCTCAGTAATCGTGTCCTCTAATCAATTTCAAATGTGTTCACCATTCTCATTTGAATAAATATATCTCACATGTTTTTTTTTTAATCAATAAAAATCATTCAATTATTAAAGAATTCATTGATATCTTTGATAGATTTTCTACAATTGATCAGAACGATTCTTTATTAAGTTAAAGAGATTTTCTCATATTAATTTTCATCAATCTAATAAAAAATTAATTCAGAATGAATAAACTCGATCAAAATTCTTTTCAAGTAAACAATGAAAGATATCTCATGCTAATACAGGAATTTTTCATCCATTCGAGTGAAATTTCTAGAATTGTTGGCAAATAATCGATAAAATTTATTCAAGTTTATCTAAACCATTAATAATTAACATTGATTCTGTCACTTTTATCTAATAAAAGATTTTGATTTCGTGAAAAAATTAATCCAATTTATTCAATCTCGATAATTGAAACACAGAAAAAAGTTCCAGACAAACATTGATAATAATGTGAATAGAATATAATTCAACTGATTGAAAATCTGGAAAATCATCCATTTAATGGTAATCCATTGATTTCAATAACAAAAATAATAATGAAGAAAGATAAATGGTCATATAACATTGATTATTGAATAAGCATTTTCATTTAAAGAAGTTCGAGTAAATCATAATATAATTAATTTGTTGAGAAATACATTTATCTCTCATTTGAGTTCAATTGATATTGAATAGAATTCAATTCATTAAAGAAATCTTCGTTTTCATCGTAGCTTCTCTCTGTGCAATAAAAAAAAAAGAGGAAACCTAATTTGTTTATAGTTTCAATGTTAAATTCTGTATTTGATAGAGAAGAAAACTCTATTTAATTGAATTATTAAGATTTTTCTCTTAATAGAGATTAAAGAGGAAAATAATATTGAATTTTTATCAATTCTTCTATTTGAATCGAATCGCAAGAGCAAATCATCTTCAATAGAAACTTTTTATCATCATAGGAACATTTTCTTGTTTCTTTTTTTCCCATATTTTCTCACTGTTATTTAATAGTAAAAGATTAAAAGATTCATCATTAATCAGAAATGAATTATTTTCATTCAAAAAGATCAACTTTCCTATTCAAACAAAAGACAAAAAGCTCAATGCAAAAACTTTTTCTGACAATGCCAATATGAACAACAACCGAAATTGAACAGAAATTTATTTTTGATTGATAAATCTGACCAAATATCTTAGACGAACATTTTTATTTATTTTTCATCAATAGACTTTCACTTATGTGTTTTTATTCAACGTTTTAGTCTATATAAAATTTCTTTTTTTTTTTTCTCTTTAGTTTGTTTACAGAAACAATAAGGTGGAATAAACAAAAATGTTCATAGATATAATACTTCAAATATCTCTATCGTGTCTCATTAACGTATAGAGTTCGGTGACGAGTTCAGCTTTTAGTTGGCCCATATTCGTATATGTATTCAATTCTGCAGAAGGTAGACTATAAAGCATGCCATCTGGTGCCTGTGCAACCAATAATTCCATTTGAAAAGTTAACCGCATGATTTCCAAAGCCAAACGATTTTTCTACAAGACAAAAACAAGATAAGATAAAGTGTCAAACATTAAAATGGCAAGAACTCAAGGAAAAATGCCAAACAATCAGTATTAAATTTTTTTTTTCATTAGATATGATTTAAAAGTATCACCCCCTTAACAATGAAATTATGATCGAATAAGAAATGCACTTTTTTTTCATGAATTCTCTTTTCACGGAATCAACATTATTTTAAAGATTTGGCATATTTATCACCTGCGTGATCAACACAAATCAGAGAAGATAGCTGTTTGAACTGAAAGCTTAATCTCCAGAGATTTCAAATAAGGACAAGAAGAAATTCGATAACATAGGCAACATACTTCGTTGGTAGAAATGGCCATAAATGATATTGAAAGCGAAGTGATCCGAAATTGCAGAATGAGGAGAATGAATGAACATGTAATAACGTTCAGCGTGCTCGAATTTATATTCGTGTTCGTTTGTTCATGAATGACTAGTAGTACGTTGCCTGATGAAAAATATGAATTGAGAAAGAACAATCAATGTTGAAATGCACCAGTGGTAGTGACGTGTTTTTCTGTGTGAGGATCAGAAGATAAATTTGTGATAAATACTACCTATGACCAGTTTCCTTTAAAACTACATAGTCTTTTTGAAATAAAAATGAGTTTCACGCGAAAGATGGCACCACAATATTATTATTGAGTGCTATTAATGAGGTACTGATATGACATCGAATTGTGCAATGGCGCAGTCTCGATGTTGAACTGTGCAGTTCGCTACAAAATGTTTTATCTACGCAATTAAGGTTTAGGTGCAAATCATCTTTTCAATTTTCTATAGAATTGAGTTATATCTCGACATGCAATTTCGTTGTAATATATGAGGTCTTGTTTAATTTTATGTATCAATAGTTTATTAAAATAAAAAGCATCATAGAATAAAAAGCATTATACAAATAAGAAAAATTTATAAAAAGAAGAACGTCAAGCGAATAAAAAAAGGAACGAAACACGACGAACAAGAAATGAAAATTTATTTTTCAATATCCTAAAAAGGTAAAAAAGAAGTGTGATGCTCTAGAAAAAAAATTAGTACGGAGCGCAAAAAAAACTACCCCCCTTGAGATTAAAATATAA